ATCAGATTTCCTCATCTGTCGCATGGTAATGACGGCGGGTACCATGCAAAAGGCAAATTTGAAATGTATATATGTGTACCCAGCGGTAAGAGGCATGGCGACACTATGACAGTTTGAGGACATCAGACTATTTAGTAGGGATGCACCAATACTAGTATCGATACCAAATATTTGGGCGAGTACTCATACACGTCCAAATGCTCCGATACCGAAACTTCCGGTCAGAGGAAGATTTCCTCTGACCGGCCTTGCCATAGGGGAACGTGGAGCCAGCTTCCCGTGCAATCAGAAAGCTGGGCGGCGAATAATAACTCGCCTCCCTTCTCCCGGCCGAGAAGCCGGCTTCCCAGCCTATCAACATTGAGCCAGCTAGACAACATGGAGCCAGCTTCTCGGGCAATCAGATTGCCCGGGAAGCCGGCTCCATGACAGCGGAAGCACCGGCACTCTTTATCGGCGAGTACCGAAAGCAAAGTATCGGTACGGGATACCGAAAAACAGGTATCGGTGCATTCCTATTTAGTATGTCGCCCATTGGCCCTACAGATTTCTATAACACCATAGGGGGCATACAAAGTGACCTACTGATCATCTGTCTCGATGGGGCCCCCTCGTCGTGCCTCTCCCTGGATGGACTCCATGGCGGTGGAATACAGGGCCTTCTGCGTGAGTGGTCTGCGCGTGTCGGCCTGCATTCCATCCGTCACCGCGTGCTCCCTCTGCGCATGGTCCATATTGTGGACGCCGACCAATAAGCTGTAGTCCATGATCTTGAAACTCTGCAGCACCTGGTAGACGACAAATGGAGATAGAAAAAAATGGGTCATGTGATAAAAACTCTGAAGAGGGAAGGTGTCATGTGATCAACGAGGGCCAATGCAATGAAAAGCTGGCAGGGCGATGAGGTCATCTGATCCTCAGGGGCCAATGCAGAGTAACCTTGCAGTAGGATTATGTTATAGGACCACCCAGGGGCCAATGCAGAGTAAGCTGGCAGTAGGATTATGTTATAGGACCACCCAGGGGCCAATGCAAAGCAAGCTTGCAGTAGGATTATGTTATAGGACCACCCAGGGGCCAATGCAGAGTAAGCTGGCAGTACGATCATGTTATAGGACCACCCAGGGGACAATGCCGAGTAAGCTGGCAGTACGATTATGGTATAGAACCACCCAGGGGCCAATGCAGAGGAAGCTGGCAGTACGATTATGTTATATGACCACCCAGGGGCCAATGCAGAGCAAGCTTGCAGTAGGATTATGTTATAGGACCACCCAGGGGCCAATGCAGAGGAAGCTGGCAGTACGATTATGTTATAGGACCACCCAGGGGCCAATGCAGAGTAAGATGGCAGTAGGATTATGTTATAGGACCACCCAGGGGCCAATGCAGTGAACGTTGCCAGGCAGCTCCTCACCAGGCAGTCCCTCTGGATGGTCTTGCAAAGGGCACTGTACATATCAGGGTCCAGGAAGAGTCCGTCTGGCAGGTCCTGCAAGAAGTCCAGGTCCTTGAAGGTGGGGAAGCTTTTCTCTCTCTCTTTGGCTGATGCACGTCTCTTGTAAGTGGAGCCCTTCAGATCGTACTTCAGATGCATCTTCACTGACCTGGGCAGTAAATTGTTCATAACTACGATCCGGATGTTCTTCCCGGCTGCCTGGACACAGTATAGCCCATAGAATTTGGGTAGGAGGGTCCGGGGGTTCTGATTCAGGTTCTGTAGCAAAGACAAAAATATAATGCTATTACTTCTGACGGACACTAAAAGGGGAGTGGGACATACAACACTGGAAACTCACACACTCCCCCAGCACACATGGTATGAGCCAGGGTATGGGACCCATGGCACAGGATACTCTGCCGCTGCCGCC